AGAGAGAGAGAGAGAGAGAGAGCCGTGCGGTCCCGTGAGTCGCCTCCAGCGATCGGTCCCCCCTCGCCCGGGCGACATGCGGGTGTTGAAGCGAAGGCGCAGATTTCACAGCCCCGGGCGACCAGCAAACGGCCAAACGAGGCGGGTCTGAAACAATCCCTCTCCTCCCCCTCTCCTCCCCTTCTCCACAACTCAGGGAGGGAAGTAGGCCAGGCCTAGCCCTGCGGCCAATAGGAAGGCTCGTCACATCACGGTGTGGTGGTGAGCGTTGATACCAAAGGCGGTTCGCAATTGGCCGGCGGGCTTATGTGCCCTCCCCGCGGCTCAATGGGGCAGCCTCCTTTTTGCCACGACATTGAGGGGTGGGGAGAGGGTGGGATGAGGTGGAAATGGAAGGATATACAGAAAAAAGAGGTGTGGGGTCTATCCTGTTGAAAGCTGATGATGGCTGGAGAAAATGAATAATATTGAGGGTGGGGAACGGGAAAGGCGGAAAGGAAAGTTGAAAAAAGGCAAACATTATTGGAAATTGCTTCTCCTTCGATCACTCGATCCCATCACTTTCTTGCCCGCGTCTCCTCTTTCCTCCCTTTCTTTTCTGTTTTAAAACTCGCGTTTCTTGCTCGCTCTTCCTTCTACCTCGTCATTGCATCTTTAAAATTATTGCTGTGAGGATGATGACTGTCGTAGCACGAGCACTTTCTCATTTTCTTGTTCTCGTGTGCTCTGCTCCACCACTGTCACACTCCACCGCACCCCGTCACGGAATGTACGACGGACACGTTCACTAGTCGTGCAGTCCGGTCTATGTGTATGTGTGTGTGTATATGTGTGTGTTTGCGTGCGTTTGTGTGTACCACTTGCGAACGCCCCCCGGGCGCCGCTGAGGGAGGGAGCTTCACTGGCTAAGCAGAGAGACAGACTCGCCGCGCTCTCAAGCGATCGGGGAGCCACTGACCAAAACAGTTCGCTCAGCCCTTCCCGGGAGCATCAACGAATGACGAGAGGGGACCCATACAAACCTCTCGGCCTCTCGGCGAACACAAGTGGCTCGCACACACACAGCGAGTGAGACAAACGCCAGAAGGCGAGACGACAAGCGAGACGGTGAAATACACACACTCAGTGTCGCCCAAGTGTTTGCTTCATCCAGCGTGTAAGGCGGATTACACACAGTAGGAGCACACGACCAACCATATCGACAGTCATTACAATATTGGCTCCACCGGCCCAGCCAGCGGCGGGATAGTTCACTACGTGTGTTCATTGAGTACCTCCTGTTGTCGGTACCCGGAGGAAGAATGAGTGATAAGAAGTGATGAAGTTTGTGATGTTCAAGTAATTGCCTCATTATTCCAAGGAGCGATTCACCAAACACGGAAAATGTTCGTTTACTGAATGATAACTTCTATTTTCGCGATCAAGTTGATATCTATTGCGGCCAATTTATGTGTAATATAGTATGTTGGCTGGCATGTGTATATTCCGTTAAGCTCTGTGATATTTCACTTTGGATTTCCCAGGACACTAATACGTACCACATATAAATTGTAAGTTTTTTGTTTTTGTTTTTCCTGCCAGTTCTGTGGCAACTGTGCTTATTCATCGAGATCTATATACATGTCCTTGGTGTTGTTTTAACTCCCTTTGCTAACTCAAAGATCGCGATCCAATATCATATCCAAACAACACGGAAAAGGTTGGATCGCATTGGCGTATATGAAGTTCTTTTCAATGACAACAAGTGCATGACTCAGATGTTGACACGTTTCACATTCTCGATTAGCTACATTTAAAATTAATCAATTTTAACTTGTTGGAAAGGTAACCGTATGAATATTGTTTACTAAAATGTAAAATGCAAATGTTAGGCCACAAAGATGTGGATTTACAATGCCTGTATTTTGCTAAATTCTGTAAAAATCGAAACGTGGATATGGATATTTTAAGAAGGGCGTAAATATGAACACTGCAATGACGCTGACAATGTAGTAAGCTGTCCTATATTTTCGCGGACAAAATAATTAAATTACTTTTTTCTTTGGCTGTAGTGTTTTATTTATCGTTATTTTAAATCGAAGGGGTCTCTTTAATACGGTATTTATTGCTCTAATTCCGGCAATACAAAACCACAGAAAACAAAAACAGTGGGTGTTGAAAAACAGAAAAATGTAAAGAGAAAAATACTGTTTTGGCCTTTTGTTGTTGTTGCTCCGTTGCACACTCAAAGCAGTATGATGTGCCCCTTATTGGTACTTTAAAAAAACAAACAATAATACATTTTATTTATTCGTTTTCTTTTTCATTTACACGTTATCATAAATCGCTTTCTTCTTATATTTTTTAAAATCCACCCACCTCTTTCGTAAATCATTATATTCAAATTTTCAATTAAACTTGTATGTTGTGGAAATTATTTATCAACGATCAAATTTCATTTTCCCTTTTGTCTTTTCTTTTTGTTATTTTTAAAAATTTTGTTTACCTCTATAGAATATCTATGAGCCCTTTGTTTTGTAGGTTTTATAGTTTGGTTTTATTTTCCCTTTGTTCGTTTGCTTTCATTTTACTTCTGACCATTAGTCTCTAAAAAATTAACTGTCCTTTGGTCTTAAACCACATTCCTTTGGTACCCATTTCTGTGAAACTTCTAATTACAATGTATATGATTATGCTTTCTTAAAATAGGCGGAAACTTTAATACAGGTATTTTTTTAAATACTTTTTTGGAGGGGGGGGGGTTTCGTAAACTTTAGAGACTTATTTTGGTCTCTAATTTATTTTGGTTTGATCTTAGCTAAGCAGTAATAGCATTAAGAGACAGTGAGGTAATTACGCCTAGATATTTCCCTCAGCTGAATAATACACAGACATGATGTCAGCGAACATTGCAGTGTTCAAGAAGGAAAAGGTTAGGCCTAGTTCAGCGAGAGTCAGGGAACAAAATCAATGACGGAGTCTGTCTGGTAGCTGTCTCGTCATGTTTCTAATCACATAACTGCGCGTGTGTGGAGGTCGTTAGGTCAAGAATCTACACACACGCCGTACCGTACACGTCTTGCTTGCAGCTCTGGGCTCTCGTCGCTCGTCGCTCGTCGCTTGTCTTTCGCGGAGCATAGACAGACGAGGAGAAGGCAGACGCTACCTTAGAATTTATTTACAAGGTTCTATCTGCTCACTACCCAGTTTTGAGAAATTTGGCGTAAAGAAAATTGTTTGATTTCCACAACATTTCAACCTTTTTTAATGCAATTCTTTGAATATCTTGATAACAACCCTGAATAAATCTTACAATTTTGATAGAGCAGATAGAACATTTTTGGGTTTCTTAACACATGGTCTTAGTAAAGATTGAAAAGCGCCTCGGGTTTTCTTACTGCTGAGCGGGGATTTGCGCTATACGATTGCTAGATCTATCTATTATTATAATATTAACTCAAAAAGGGCCAAAAATGTCAGATACAAACTTGTAAATTCTGAGTAATCACAGGCGTTCCGGCAGTTGCGTGTACCCGGCATATTTTTGTCGCATTTCTGTCGCACTGAACTGACAAGGATCTGCAGGTACTGCTGTATGTAACTGAACTAGAGCCGGGGTTGTCTTAGGCTGAATACTGAACACAGGGGCTTTCGTCTTAGTCTTAGATGTAGGAGAAGACAGGCATAAATATAATATAAATGACTAATATGTACCCATTGGTACGCAAGATGCCATTATTATTATTTTTTAAAATTA